TAACGTTATTATTTCCTGATTATATTAGTATCAATTGATAGTAAAATTCATTAAATCATTATTTTAATCTTAGTCTATGGTATTATATCCATATTATTTCCATTAAAATTAATGAATAGAATAATTATTATTTACGAAATAAACGAACATAAGTGAAAAACMTTTATAATATAGTAGTGCGTACCTATAATATTATATCATTATTTATATTTCAAAAGTCCATGATCCATTATGTTATCTTGAATTCCTTTGTCAGCAGTCAGGTGCATTTGAAGTATTACAATATTTTTAGACCATTCAAGTATACTTTGGAGATCAAACAAATGTTATTTGTTGTGCACAAACTAAGATCTCTTAAAATTTGTTTAAAATAGATACATAATAATATTCAATAAATATAATGTGGACGTATGACGTATSTCTGTTCAGATTTTTCAGAACCCAACATACCTACAAATAATATAATAACAAACAACGGCTGGTGACAATCAAAGATAATAAAATATAACAGCAATTAGTGGAACCCCAGAATAAAATATTAAATACATAAACACATAAAAACATATATGAATGTAGATAAGATCATAAAAAAAAATTGATAGGTTTCTGTAAAACACTAAACATAAAAGAGCATAAAATTGAGACAAATTTTGAAGCCAGTAAATTCCTCACACTTCATACAATTACAATAAAACAAACTTTATTATACATTATCTCAATATCTGTTATGTTAACCCTATTAAATAAGTAATAATAAACCAAGTGAAATAGCTCAAAAACAAAATTACCGCTTTTATGTGAAATTAACCACAAAAAAAAAAATTTTGCAAGATGATATTAACTTATGAATAATTTTCTTCCATCTAAAACTTTTTTTTACAATTTCATGCACCAGTGTACCACATATTTTATTTAAATTAAATTATAATTTACGATTTCTCAATATCCATTGCCATGTAGTAATTTACATAAAATGTTCCTATATTTATAATATTCTCATTAAAAAAAAATATTTGTTGGAAATTAAAAAA